ATCCTCCCTCCCCACCCCAGGTCAGATGGCAGAGCCAGGCCTTCAATTTACTCAGTTCAGTAAAGATATTCATATAATTTGCATATAATTAAAAACAGAATAGACTGGGTCTTAAAACTCCTAAATTTATAAATGCTATATTTCAAAAGCAAGGACAGGAGACTGCCTAACTTAAGGTCATGTAATCTACGTGGCTTATAGTATTGTACACATATAACTGAAGATAATGCAGTGTTAATTGTATAGGTCCTAGTCTAGAGAACTTAGCAAATCCAAGTTTGAAAATTATTGGAGTGATTTTCACACCATGAAACCATAAATATTTAGATCAACTGAACAAAATTAAATAATGAGATGTCATAGGACATGCAGGTAGTCCTCACTTAACCACCACAACTGGGACTGGCAACTCCATCACTAAGCGACATGTTCATTCAGTAAAACATCATGTGACTGTGTCTGACTTACAATGTCAGTTCCACTGCAGCCATTAAGAGAATCACGCAGAGTCATTAAACGCGATGTCATGTGACCACAACTTGCAACTTACTGCCAGCTTCCCCACTGACTTTGCTTGTTGGAAGCCAGTTGTGAAGGTCACAAATGGCAATCACGAGACTGCAGGTTGCTGTGACCATTGTAAATGCATGCTGGTTGCCAAGCACCCGAATCGTGATCATGTGACCACGGGGACGCTGCGACTGCCATTAAGTTCAAGGACCAGTCATAAATCTACTTTTTCAGTGCTGTTGTAAATTTGAACAGTCACTGAATGAGGAAGTAGTTAACTGAGGACTACCTGTACAACATACGTAATTAATAATGCTTGATCACAAAAGTTTTTTTTCCTCAACAAGTTTAAAATAACTACAAATTACCAGGAATGGTAATTAGGACTTCTAGAAGGCTTGATAGTGCAGTCTCTTACCTCTGGCCCAGTGCACAGGATAAAGGTGTTTCCAGAGAAACCCCGTTTTCGCTAACTGTGACCATTTGGTGCTGACTTGACTACATCGGCATAATTCTTGAGGGCTAAGATAACTAAAAATAGTCAGCATCACCTCAGAAGGAAGATGAAGAATGCTGGTAGATTGCCCTGGTTCTTCAGTTTCTGAAACACAGGAGAAAAGACTCTGCAGGAGCTTGACAAATTGGCCAGTCTTAGCAGAATTCAGCTCTAAGGAGGCACTTGTAGAACAGTGGCAAAAGAGAATGCTGTCAACATCCCGGGGTGGGGGGGATCTTTTTTAAAAAGGGGACTTTTGGAATTATGCACCCAATTACCCATTAACAGCTACTTTCAATTTAGGGGTTTACCTTGATCTGCTTTTTCATCCACAGAATATTTAAAAGCTTTCTGGAGCTCTTCTGCTTGATTCCAAAGACTAATCCCTCTACGTATTTCTGTTGCAGTTTCCTTCTGTGAGCAGTGTTGTGCAATTACTTTCTTTTTTATGTCCTTCAGTTCTTCATAAGTAAAATATTCCATCAACATTGGCTGGAAAACCTAACAGATAATTATTGTCACTATTTGAACATCAGCTCTAACTTGCATTTTTTTGCTACAGTTTTTCTAACATTTGGAAAGTTTCAGGCTTTTGGTGCAGTCAAATATTCTTTACTTTTTATAAAACCATGTTGAATTCAAGAAACATGCTTGTCCCACAAGATCCAACATATTTGACAGATAATAAAACATATAAAAATAGTATATATCAAGATGAAGATAGCAGCAAAATTATTATTTAAAAAACCAGCAATCTTGAGAATTCAGCACATTTTCATGTAGAAACACCCAATGTTCTAATTCTTCAAAAAAGCTGCCAAATCAGCAATTTTTAAAAAATAACATAGATTCTTCTTTACACTACCATGACAAGCATACCACACATGCAAGAAAAGTAACTATGTATACACAGGGTTAACTGTTTTGCAGATATAATATTCGGAGTGATATTAGGAACTCATTTAAAGTATGTTCTAACCTTTAGAACACTAATACACTAAAAGTAGTATTAAATACTACTTTTAAAAAGAAGCAGTTCAAGTCTACTCATTTCTTTCGAACAGCATTTCAAAATTTCAAAACATTTATTATATGCCACCCAGAGTCGCATACGTGAGATGGACAGCTATATGAAATAAATAAATAAATTCCTAACATTATCAGAACTCAACTAATTAAAAAAAAACACTGGCCAACTTTAGTCTTTTTAAGCCACCCTGGAAGACATAGCTGTTTTAAAGGGTAGCATAGGAATTTAATGAATAAAATGTTTCTCTATAGTTCTGCTACAAAGATGGAAGGCTTTCCAGTGAGATTGAGAAGTTATGGCAAACCCCTATACCTGCCTCATTTACACTCAATGTAAGAGCACAACCGTGCCATACCAGCAGTAGTCAGCAGAGCACCCAGAGTGAGGTGGGGAAAAGAGAAATAGATAGATACAAGCTGCCCTTTCACTCAGCAGGATCCGCTGGGATAAATTCCAGCTTTGGTCTCAGACTGCAATACCGTACAAGACTTAACTGTTATCTCCACAGAGTTATTTAAGCTAAGGCAGGTACCTGCATGTACAGTGGCTCCGTGATATTTTTTTTAATGTTCTTGCTTTGAATATAAATCCCCCCCAATGTCATATCACAAATAGTTTTTCAAGTGTCACTTCGCTTCTGTTGTAAACACACCAGGGTACAAGAAACATGCATCTAAAGACAGTTTGGTCTTATAGAACTTCCATTTGGAATACATGTTCTTGACAATTCTGAAATATATTCTGTATCTAGTTTTTACATAAAAAGGCTTTTAGCCATATCAAGTGTAAAATTTAATTAGTATTAAAGGCCAACTAAAAGAATTATTGTGACACCAGGTTTATTTTGGTGTGCTTCATATTAACATTTCACAAATTGAAGGTAATTATATCTTGTTCCCGTTTACAGAAAGGGGAATAACACATTTGTTTATTTACAGAAATAGTTTAAACTATCTGTGCTGTGTGAAACTCTCTAAGTATGAAGATTTTCCTTATTTCAAACGACCAATCCAATGGCCAAGGGAGGCTGTTCCAAATGCCACAGAACACTGCAGGCAGACTGAGAAGGAAGGGCAAGTAGCCATAAGCATTTCACACTGAAACACTATGGTGGGCAAAGGAGCAAGCTGTGGGATGAATCTTCTGAAACCTCAGGATATTTTCAACTGAATATCTTCTCAGTTTAGCAGCTACATTCTAAAAAAGGGCAGAAATCATGAAGTAGTATTTTCTTTTAACATATAAATAGCAAAATCTGTCTTTTTACAAAAATAATGCTGAATACACACTGCTCACTCCAAATGTTAAAAATAAAGGAAACATTTATCAAAACGTTTAATCATTCCCTAATCACTACTCACCTCCTCCTCCTCTTTCATGTGAGGAAGGAAATCTCTGGTAAAAGCTTCCAATCGTTCCTTTAGCTGTTTCGCATAGTTGAGTTGCTCATATTCATTCTGAAAATTAGTTTTCAAAATTCATCATACAACGACATGCCATTCAAGTTACAAATATGTTTGAACTAATTATTAAATTAATAAACTCAATTTAAATTATTAGATCATTACATTTTAAAGACAAATATGAAGAAATACTGAAGTTGGGCTTCAAACATTTGGTAATTTAAACCACTGTCTCTACTGCTTTTCCAATTCTAATTCTAATCTTTCAGATGCAAAAAGTTGGGATTACAGTGGGCATTGCGATACTTGCTTCTTTAAAAGATTATGTTTGCTATCTGTCAGGTTCAGCCCAAGAACAACAGTGAGACAGTCCAAAATCAGTTCAGCTCCTTTATTAGCTTACACTTAATAGACAGAATCTCGCCAGACTAATTCTAATCCCCAACCACAGCAACTATAACCATGATGCCCTTAGGGAGGGGCCAGTCTCCTTCTCTTGACTTTCCCACACTCTGGCTGGGGGCTGATGAGGTGCTTTCCCTGGAACCTCTCTTCCCCTTCCTGGCAACCTTGAAGTTCCATTCCAGAATCCTCCCTGCTCATGTCTTCCATCATACTATCCAACTGAACACAACCTCTAAGCAAAAGGATGTGGCTTAACTAAATGGGCTAGGAGCACATTTCACCAGATTTAGATACCAAAGGAAAATTTCACAACAACACTTTTGGATAAAAGTTATAAATATATCAAAACATTTTCTCTTTTGAATATGTTACAGCAGCAAACAAAAATTGTCCTTTCACAAACTCATATATTTACCAATTAAAATGATAGTCTCAGTATTTATGATTAAGTATCCATGTGCAATGTTGCTATTGCTTTCTTAAGGCTAATCTTCAAATAATTACTTAATTTTAACAAGCCAAAAATCAAACAAACTCACCTTTACATTTTTCAACCCTTTCTCAAAGAGGCTAAGCATCTCTGACAATTTATTGTCCGAATGTACGTTATATACAGTTTGGCTACGTTGCTGAAGCAAACCAATGATGTATTCATTTTCAATCTGCTCGTGCATTTTAAACTCTTTAAATGTAGCATATAAGGACTGGAGGAGAGCTCGGAAATCATTGTTGTTGGAGAAATTTGTCTTAGAAAGCTGGAAAAAAAATAGATGAGGGTTGCAGATTAGAAATTTATATTTTCTCTGAATTAATTTTTAAGAAACTAATTCTAAGAAGGCATTAGCCAACTATAAATTCCTAACTAAATTTGAACCTCAGTGGTTTTAACATATACTGAAAAAAATTCAGATTTAACTTCAATAACATTTATTTATTCCATATCTTTAATTTATATAAAGTCCTTTATATAACAGACCATTCTGGGTCAATATTTTGTTTACTGATTAGAATAAAACATACTTTTCATTTTGCACACACCCTTATCATTAAGAACATTTGTGTCTCTGCCCAACAGTAACTTGTCTAAATGTTTGACAATCCTGTAAATTTCAGATTGAAATATCATAATTGTATGGCAAGCCTAAACCATGTTGTTAATGTTCCAAGAATCCTAAGAATGCATAAATGATGCAATTCCAAAGCAATCATTTTAGCCAGCAGAACTGTCAACAATTCTGTTACAGAAAGCAAAAGTACTACAATCTTTCAAACTGAGTGTTCTATTCGCATCCAAATCTAATCTAGTACAAACAGTATCAGCAGCTGCCTGAAGAAAAGCAACAGAAGGTTTAATTGCTTTTGAATCTTCAACTATAACCTTGAAGATCAATGTTCCCCAACACTTCTTCCACTGGCACTATCAGTGAAAAGAATTGGCTGTACACTTATTTCCACAGACACTGTTGCCCCAATTCTTCCAGAGGACTTAGCTATTTTAATATTCAGGGAGGCCTGCACTATCCACCCAAAATGCTTTGTGAAATAGTACTTTCAAATGTTTTGCAAAACCCTAATAAACAGTAGAAATCACCAAACCCCCATTTTTGGCATCTTTACAGACCAAAAAGTATACACACTGCTTTCTATTATTAGGTATCTTCATAGTTACATTGCAGAACAAAAAAAGAAACCTTTTTTCAGGTGATAGAAGTGATCTTCAGGTGATGAATACTTAAACGACTGACACACAACTACGCCTCCACTTTCTACATTTGTGTCTTCATAATGGCCGAGTTGCCTGCAACTCCACCAGCATCATCAATTTTATTTGTGCTGAAACCAATTGTTCAAGTACAGTACTTCCTCATACTACCCTACCTGTACAAACTCTTTCAAAATAAACAGAGCTCAGTTCAACAAACTGAAACAGGATTTGAGTGTGCTATGCATTAAAACTCTTTCCTCTTTACAAAAACATAAACTTCAGAAAGCCCAGAGTCTTTTGCAATTATTTTAGCTTAATATATATTTCTCCACCTTGATCGTCCTTGGTGTTGGATGGGGTGGCACTGCTCCAGACAGACCCAGTGCACAATCTGGGGGTCCTCCTGAACTTACAACTCCTGCTTGAAGAGAGGTGGAAGCCGTGGCTAGACGGGCTTTTGTACAGCTTTGTGTTGTGCACCAGTTGCATCCGTTCCTGGATCGGGGGGTTCTGCTCACAGTCGTTCATGCCCTGGTCACCTCTCGTTCGGACTACTGTAATGTGCTCTGCGTGGGGCTGCCCTTGAAGAGTATCTGGAAGCTTCAGCTGCTGCAAAATGCAGCAGCATGGACAATTATGTGAGCCCCTAGAAGGGTAAACATTACACCTCTGCTCCACCAGCTGCATTGGTTGCCACTTTGCTTCTGGGTCCAATTCAAGGTACTGGTTTTGACTTTTAAAGCCCTTCATGGCATGGGGCTGGGTTATTTGAGGAACCACTTCTCCTCGATTACATCTGCCTGTCCCATCCAGTCTGGCAGGGAGTCCATGCTGTGGGTCCCACTTGCCGGGGAATTCCATTTGGCAGGGCCCAGGAGTTGGACCTTCTCTGCCGTGGCACCTGCCTTGTGGAATCTTCTCCCCCTGGAAGTGAGATTTCCCTCTTAACATTCTGCAAGTCCCTCAAGACCTGGCTATGTGATTGGGCCTGGGGGTCCCAGGGGACCAGGAAGATCTTGCGATGGTTCCCTTACTGTGATTAACATCATCCTCTCTTGTTGTGTGCGTTTTAATAGTTTTTATACTTTTAATAATGACTGTTTTATTTATTTATGTATTTACTGGTTTTCTTTTTAACTGAGTGTTGTATGCCACCCAGAATCACTTTCTTGTGAGACGGGTGGCTATACAAATATGATAAATAAATAAATAAAACTACAGAGAGCTGCTTTTAGTAAGTCAGCTTCTTTTTAAAAGGCAGACAGGCACAGAAAAGCACTGTGCAAGCATGACCACATCCCAGGATATGAGTCAGCAGAAAACCGAACCAGTTTACTGGATCCAGAAGTACAGTGCCTTGAGTGGAAGGCACTCCTGACCCCTCTTCCAGGAATGGAGGAGAAAAAGAGGACTAAGCCAAGGAGAAAAACAGGTGAGCATCAAGCCCAAACATTAAGTTCCCTTTGCGCATCCTCAAAGTGATACCTGATGGACAACATTCCAAAGATCTCAGGTCCCCTTCTGCTTTGACCAGGAGCACATGGCAAAGCACAATAAGAGAGCAGAGGAACCCTGTCTTTCAGTCAAAGGCACACCCAAGCAATTTAGATAATTCTCCTTTCTTGAAGCATATTACGCAGTTTTTTGATCCTGTACTTTCTATCAAAAGGAACTAGCTTTTCATCCCCTTCTTTCTCACCATACCTAAATATTTTTTCCTAAGAATTAACTGGCAGTATCTAAAAAAAATCTCTGTCTGTAATTAATACACAGCATATGCAACATGATCTCTTGACTGTAGTCAATTAAGAATCAATTTGCAAAGCTAGAAATTAGACATTTGCACAGAGATCCAACTTTGGGAAATTAAGGAACCAGTTCCTTAATTGTTCCACTGCATTTGTTACTTTAAGCACACTTTGGTATTGCTGCAGTAAACTAACTTAAGTTTCAGTGACTTTACTTTAAGTGTATCTACAGTCTGGAATTTACTTTGTGCCTTTCTTAATCTTGTTTTGAAATACAAGTCACAAATGTCCTGTGGAATGTCTAGTAATCCTTTTCCTATATTGCAGATTAAAATGCAGAATCACATCTTCTCTATTGGATAAATGCCATCACTTATTTTTAAATGGAAATGTATTAGAATACCTTACACTTTACCAATAATAATAAAGTCCAAATACATTATAACTAAATATTATCTGCTTAGCCAAGTTAATCTGTAAAAGCAAAACAATCCCATAGCACCCTGAAGAAAAACAAACCCTTAAAATATAACTTTTCACGGACTGTAGTCTACTTCATCAGGACAAGCTAGATTATGCTACAAATATGTCTTTCTCCAGTTGCATTGTTTCCATCTGCAGACAGGTTGTAATGATGACAATGATCTGAATTTTTTATAATTGCAAACCTAAAATTCCTTTATAGATCAAGAACTGGTTCCTTAATTTCCCAAAGTTGGATCTCTGTGCAAATGTCTAATTTCTAGCTTTGCAAATTGATTCTTAATTGACTACAGTCAAGAGATCATGTTGCATATGCTGTGTATTAATTACAGACAGAGACTTTCAGAGGATTGCCCTTGCTCTGTTCTCCCAACTTTTGCATTCCACCAAGGTCTTGAAAAGTGAGAAAAACTATAACTTAAGCACAATGTCATTATTACTTGCAGCAAAAAAAAGAGAGAGGGAGAGACTAGGACAGAAAATTCATTAAACGTTTGATTCCAATTCGTATTTAGTTGACTTGTTTTGAATCTAATACTTGTGCCAAACAACAGCTCAACTACACAGAGAATTTCTTTTCAAAAGACCAATTCTCTGCCGTCCTGGATTCTCTTTCACCAGAGACTCCTAAAACTTTTGTTAGTTCAGAAATTTATGGCTGGGTACGGAGAACACAAATGACTCAGCTACTTGTTTGTATGCCCAGTAGCATGTGATCTCAAATGACTAGATCTCATGGCCATAACCTGTTTAAAACAAATATTTGGAAGAAGAGTTGCATAAAACTTAATCAATAATTAAACAAAAGTAGCAGTTACTACCAGACTGCTTCAACCAAGTAGACAGATCTTAGCAACAACACTGTTTTTTCTGGGTGAATAGATTCCCGGTCTGTATGCTTCTATAAGGACAGGAAGACCTGGTGCAATATGGTTCATGGGGTCACAAAGAGTCGGACACGACTTAACGACTGAACAACAAATGCTTCTATATGTTATTATGTTTGTGAATGGTGGTTTCTGCTATTTTATTGTAATGAATGTCATATGTGTTATCCCAGTTTACAAAGGTTCACATGTACCCTGCTCAGAGCTGGATTTGACAGGAGCTGCTGATAAGCCCAGTAAAATAAAATAACACATTAAGATCTCTTTATCTTAGGCCTTAACAAAAGGTTCAGAAGGCTGGTGAAAAATATAGCAATATTAACATGTTGCAAAGAGAAGTTCCTTGCATTCATAAGGGAGTGACTGGCAAGTGGGGGGACAACCTTTTCAGATGCCCCTGGATTTGGCTTGGCCTACCTCACCAGGCTGCTGTCGCTTTGCACCTTCAACTCCTTAAAGGAGTGAGTCTCAGTCTTAGCAACTTGAAGATGAGTGGACTTCAACTCCCAGAATCCCCATCCAGGCATGGCTGGCTGGGGGTTTCTGGGAATTGAAGTCCACCCATCTTCAAATTGCTAACATTGAGAAACACTCCTTTAAGGAACCAACAAATGCAGCCCATGTCGTCCAGAGATTAAAGGGATGGGCGGAGAGAGGGAATCCAGTGACTCTGGGCCAGTTATTCCCCCCACAGGGGGATAAAGTTTTCCTTCCCGGCTTAAAAGAAAAAAAATCAGCACCTCTAAAAGAAGAAAAGCAAGAAGAGCTAGAGCTACGTCGCGCGCAAAGCGGCGGCCCAACTGCGCAGGCGCAGGGCTCCCCTCCCTTTCGCGCGCAGGCGCATTGCCTCCGTCCCACCGGCCGAGGCCGAGGCGCGGGGGTGTGTCGCGGCGCCTGAGGTAAAGCCGCGGCTGCCGCGGCGCCCTTCAGTCCCTTTCCTACCTTGTCGCAGTAGAGCCCGACGAGCTGCTTCATCCGCCAGTGCGGGGCCGTGAAAACATCCACCTCCTCCGGGAAGGGAGCCATCTTCTCTCCCCCATAGAGAGCGACACTCTCTCCCACAGCCGCGCTCCAGCGACGGCAGAAGCGGCCTGCTCTGCGCACGCGCCCAGAGCGGAGGCGGCGCAGGCGCCGACAACGCCCAGCTCTCTCCCGGTCACGTGGAGGGAGGCGAGAGCCTTTTCCCTAGAGAGGCACTTCCGGGCCGGGGTGGAGCGGCCATTTTTAAATGCCCCGCAAAGCGAGAGTCGGGGGTTTAGCAGAGCTGGAGAGGTTCTCCCGCGCGCTTGTTGCATCGCGCGACGTTCTAATAAATGCAGTTCCTCAGCCAGGTGGCGAATTTACAGGAGACTTATCATAGCCATCTGGCAGACAAGAAGCTTAAATTATGAATGGCCAGCTAATTGGGGGCTGATTTGAGAGGGCTGCCTCGTGTAGCATTCTGCATAAAGCCCTACAGTTTCTCAACCTTGGCAACTTTAATTTGTGTGGACTTCAACTCCCAGAATTCCCCAGCCAGCTAAAACCAAACCCTTTGCATCAGGTTCTTAACCATGGTGGGCTTTGGCCACTCAAATAGCGATTATTCTAGTCCGGTGTTTTTCAACATCAGCAACTTTAAGAAGTGTGGACTTCAACTCCCAGAATTCCCCAGCCTGGGAGTTGAAGTCCACACATCTTAAAGTTGCCAAGATTGAGAAACACTGGACTAGAGCATTATATCGTGGGTTTTTAAAATTCACTATTTTATTATGCAGTATTTTTCCTCCATTCTTTTATCTCTCTAATTTTTCTGATAGGCATGTTGGATCTGTAACCTGTAATAAAATAATTGATGGACTGATATAAGTATTTCCCCTTTCCCCCCTTTTTGGGGGTTTGTGGAATGCTATAAGGCTGTGCCTGGCCCCTCTGCGCTGACAACTGGCATCAGTCTCCCTGCAAACACATCTTCAGACTATTTCCCACCTGGCTTTAATTCCAAAAGAAGAGCAAAAAGGGAAGGGGTGTAATGCAAAATAGAGCATCAACCTCTGTTTACAAAAATGCCAGTTGTTCCTTGGTTGTTGGAGAGATGAGAAATATAATCGGTCAATCAGCAGGGAGGAACGTCAGCCGGTGCTGAATTCAATGGGTGCAGCTCTTTGTGACTGAGCAAACCCACAACATACAGTATCCTCCAAATTCCCAGTGTGTCTGCCAGCCCCCAAATGGTTTCCTATCTTAGGTTTCGATGAAACACTTGGGGAAGTCATCCAGTGGCTCTGACTGCAAGGAGCATGAAGAGAAAATGATTTGGAATTCAGATTTACTCAGCAGCAGATTTTATCCAGACCAGATGGAAATATTGCGGGTGGGAAATCAGCTGCACCGGCCAAAGGAACTCACCAAATTGGGTGACAAAACACTCCCTGACTAACAAGCTGGTAGCCGATAGTTCCCTGAGAATGCCTTTAACCATTATCAATTGGCAGTTTGATTGATCACCATTAAAAAAAAAAGTGAAGCTCTATCGAAGCAAAATTAGATTTGCTTCAGTTTCTAGTCTTGCTTTGTTTACTTTGTACTACTATAATGCTTTTACCCAAGGCTGCATGTAAAAACTAAGGAAGTTCAGCTGGCCTGTAAGGTGGCTGTTTGGAAGCTCAGAAATCCATGAATCAAGCTAAGCATCTGTCAGTAAAGCTGCTCCCTGAAATCACATAGAGTTTAGGGTTCCAAAATAAGCTATAACTTAGCTTTTTTTCCCCCCCACCACTGAAAAAAAGTCTAACCAAAAAAAAAAAAAAGGAAAAGAATTGTATAGGTCTCGGTATGTTGACAGGTCCTGCACTTAGCACTGTCCTCATTTACTCTATCTTGCCAGCTAACACTTCCAGATAAAATAGGTATTTTGAGCCAAGACAATACAGACTATACAGAATGAGACAGGGGTTTTCAATAGCATTTTGCTCTGTTTTCAAGTTCAGTTCAAAGTGTGGATTTGTCACTGAAAGCCCTCTCAGGGCATCCTGTGCTGCTCCATTCACTAAAGTTCCCTCTGTGATTTTTCACTCCACTTGAGGCGTGGCAGGGGATGAGCAGGGAGCTTTGCTATGGCAGGACCCCAATTACAGGATGCTTCCTTCAATGAGATTTCCTTAGTGCCTCTGCTCATATGCCATGGCACAAGGTAAAGACAATTTTCAGTAGTTTTTAGATGAAATTCAGATTATCTCTCCTAACTTTCGTATTGGTCTTGTGTAGATTTTTCAAGCTTTTAGGGAATTATTACAAGGAAAAGTTAAAACAGTAATTGATACAGCTTTCTTATATTCCCTTTGTGTTTTCCAGTGCTTGAAAGTTGACAGAGACAAGCTGTCCTGAGCATTTAAATGTCCTCAATATCCAGCAGATGGCATCAAACCAATGCATAACTTATCTTTTTCCTTTCTTGGGTTTAATTTGTTCCCAGGAGCACACTTCCTAAACTGCAGTAAATTTTTTATACAAATGAATTTTTCAAAAGACCTTTATGCAAAATGAAGTGGCATTACCAGCAACTTCCTGGCTTATTTTACTTTTTGTTGTATCACCCTCAGCACATTCAGTGGAGATGGTTTTACAAATAGAGTTTAATCAGTTCATCACTGACGACCAAGGGGGTCAAGGACTCTGACATCCATAAAAAGCAGAATGATAAGAGATGGGGAAGTCTAATCAATACAAGGATGCTCAACTGTGAAGGGCTTCTTATATCTTCAAGGATGTCTACTTTGTATTTAATTTATCTGGGACATCCTGTTGGTTCAAAGGGGGAGGTCTTTCATAATTGAAACTCGCAGCAACCACATTGGACGGGGCTTATTTTGAGCTTTGGCACATTTGGCTTGTCTCAAACTTGTTGATGACCCCTCCATTTTTTATGACTCCTTCAGCCCCCACTGTCACCAAATCCACCTTCTCCATGATGTTTCCATCTAGAACAGTGTTTCTCAACCTTGGCGACTTGGAGATGTGTGGACTTCAACTCCCAGAATTCCCCAGACAGCATGGCTGGCTGGGGAATTTTGGGAGTTGAAGTCCACACATCTTCAAGTCGCAAAGATTGAGAAACACTGATCTAGAATACAGTGACAGAAATACCAAATTTACTGAGAACTTTTACCACCTTCTGCCCTGTTCAATCCAGCTGCAATTCAGTGACATACAGTAGGTGCTAAAATGTTTCTTTGTTCCTGCAACACCTTCTAGCACTCTAAGGGCCACGTTCGAGTAAGCATGGATTAACATTTCCCCACCATTTTTTCACAAATGTGTGGCAAAAGTGTGCCAGTGTTCTTCCTTGAAAGAGAGATGTGATGGAGAAAAGGCTTGCCTCTTTCAGTTACGGTTTCTTTACATTTGGAAGAGTCCACAGAAATGAAACTGATGAATTGTAAGAAGAGCTCTGTGCCAAAAGAGAGAGCCATCGGGAAGTCAATGTTAGAGGGCATTTTTAAAGTCTGTTTTAGATTTACTCTCAATCCTTGAATGGTCTCACCTTCGTCCCTCTTCAGGAACTCCAGTGAATAGTAGCCACTGCAGAAGGAACATCTGGATCCTGTCTTATCTGGATGTTAAAGGCATCAACCAGCTCTGCTATGCTCATGGTAGAAAAAGAGGTCATCCAACTCCTCTCTAGCCCAGTCATGACACCACCTTTATAAAACCTTTGGGCGCAGTGCCGTGAACAATTTATTTAGCAAGTTTATAATAGGAGGGTCCGTGATTTTTGTACTTGTGTGGATGTTTTGGGAGTTGTTCAGTAGGGCTACCTGATCTGAGCTGCAAACATCCCAATAACTGCTAGATGGGAGCAAGGAGTTGTTAAATCTCTTTGCTAACATATAATCACCTGATTTTTGCAACCCAGCCCAAGTACACCTCTTGTTGAAAAATTATAAAACCTTCATACCTTTTATAAAAATCCATTACAGCTTAGATTTCAGTGCTGCTATCTCATTTTGTTGCCTGAACTACTACTTTTTATCAATTTTCTCTTCTTTTAGTCTCTGCATAAACACACATTTTTCCTACTTGAGGGCCCAAGCTCCTTCTTTAACAGTCTGACCGTTTAAGCAACTATAAAGCAGTCAACTCCCAACATGCTGGCTGGGGAATTTTCGGAGTTGATGTCCACACATCTTAAAGCAAGCTGGCTGGGGAATTCTGGGAATTGAAGTTCACACTTCTTAAAGGTGCCAAGGTTGAGAAACATTGTACTAGACTAAAAACCTATTGCCACTGCTTGTATCCTGTTGGCTGAAATATCTAAAGAGTTCAGATTGGGAGTCAACTCCCAACATGCTGGCTGGGGAATTTTCGGAGTTGATGTCCACACATCTTAAAGCAAGCTGGCTGGGGAATTCTGGGAATTGAAGTTCACACTTCTTAAAGGTGCCAAGGTTGAGAAACATTGTACTAGACTAAAAACCTATTGCCACTGCTTGTATCCTGTTGGCTGAAATATCTAAAGAGTTCAGATTGGGAGTGGCTACATTTGATATGGAGTTGGCATGTTGAATAATTTGATTGAAATTTATGTTCCCATGTGCTCAACTCAATGATGCAATCAGACTTGCTTAGTTGCCCCTCGTGGTAGAATGACCATCTCATATTTCAGAACCTTTTCCCATCTTGCACCTGCTCTGCAAAATTGACTACCCCTTGAACGTTTGGCATCTGATTGCATGAGGTTCATAAAGAAGCTGGGAAAAAAGTGTTTCAACAGCTGTTTTGAACCTCACGAGGTTAGAAAAACCATTGCTTTACTTTCACTACCTAATAAAAATTGAAATTATGGTAGTGCTAGGGTTAGGTAACATTGACTCTTTATTTGTTTATATTATATTGTAATTTCGTTGTTTGCTTCCACCAAATAAAAATGCTACTATTAATTCTGCTAATGGCAGTCTTCACTTGGAGGGACATAGTGTTTAGCAAAGTTATCACAGAAAGTATCTCATGCAAACTAGATAAGTGTTTTTATTGGCTTAATCAAAGGTAACAAGCATATACAGTGGTACCTTGGGTCACGAACTTAATTCGTTCCGCGACTCTGGTTGCGACCCAAATTGGTCGTGACT